TCTAATTCGTCTTCGGGGCCCAATTCGTCTTCGGAGAATTCGTCTGCAGAAAGCGTCTTCGGGGTCTAATCCGTCTTCGGGGGCTAATTCGTCTTCGGAGAATTCGTCTGCGGAAAGTGTCTTCAGGGTCTAATTCGTCTTCGGGGTCTAATTCGTCTTCGGAGAATTCGTCTGCGGAAATCGTCTTCACATTGCGGGAGGAGAGGTGGCTGTGCTTGAATGTGTCTTCGTAATGTGTCTTCGTCTGCGGGTGGAAAAGTGGGACCCCCACAGCGGCTGCAATGCATTCATTCATTCATTCAATCATGTCATTGTTTGATTCACGACCGCTTGTTTTCTTTTTGCCAGTGGCAAAGCCAATCCTGGGGCACGGCACGTTCAGTCCAGTCTGACACCTCTTGCATATCTTGGGGTTCTACGATCTATACCTCAAATACACTTCACTGTAAGATGGCAATTGAGAGAACGTCCTATGTCACAGCTATACTCAGTTGTTCTTTACTTCAGCAAGACTTGCGAGCGAAGCCCTTGAGTCGTTTAAGTGCTTGGGTCTGCAGTCGTGTCTTCAACCCTGCCTCGTACTGCCCAGAATGGCAGCGTCCAAATGAGTTCTGCTGGAGTCATCTGGAACTCCTCACAACTGCTCGCTCTGTTTTCAAAGAGTACCCTATATGTGCGTGTGTGTGTGTGTCCCCTCTGGAGTCACGAGGTTCCTTTTGGATTGTTTTGTTTCTTCATGTTCTTTTAGCAGGGGGACGGGACACCACTGGCATTTCCCGTCCAACGAAGAGGGTGCCAGTAGGTGCTGATGCAGTGGGGGACACCCCACTGCGTACCTGCTCTAGGTTTTAAGTTTGTAATTGTGTCTTGTGAACCTGTAGTGCTGGCCTCAAGCCTGGTGCGATGGCCTCCAACGCACTAGACATGACCCCCAACCTTGTTGCCTTACTGATGCTTTTGTCAACTTGTAGCACTGGCCTCCAACCTGGTACTCTGGCCTCCAACCTACTAGCGATGACTAGCGATGGCCCCTCAACCTGCTTTCGATGGCCTCCAACCTTAGAGCGATGACCGCCAACTTTTTTGCCTTGGCTTACTCAAGTTTTTTAAACTTAGGTTGCCATGCGGCGAGCGGCATTCGAGTTTCTATCAGTGTGTCTCTCCTCGTGAGAGCCCAGGTGACCCCGAAGAGTGGCCCCTGTGGACCCGTCGAACGGGGGTTTGTCGTTGTTCCCCCTGCCCGGGAACGTAGGTGTCCGAAGCGGACAAAGTAGGCTTAGGCCAAAGTTATTTGCCAAGACTTGCTGAATTATTGAACTCCAAGCTGGCTCATGCCTTTACGTGACCGCAGCGGTCTAAGCAGCCAGCCATTTTGGCATGGCACAAGGTGACCACAGCGGTCAAAGCAAGTTGAAGGTTCATTGAAACCTGTCCCATTCTTAGGTGCACACACAGCGTATGCATGCAAACGAGGCGAGGTCTTCCTAGGGGTTTCTAATGAGGTTCGGCTTTATCGGTCCTCGTCCCCTCCATTTGGTTCCCTTTTCATCCTTTTTCCCCTTTACACACCTTTGGTTTCCTCTTTTCTTTCATGTTCTCCTGCATCTCATCATTTTCTTCGTTTGCGCGCACATTGGTCCCGGCCTTAGTGTGTACGTGCACTTCTACATACATTTTAAACACAGGTTTCAGGTCGCCCAGGTCTTTACAAGGAGGTGGGGTTCATCGGTCGTCCCTGTGCACTTGCCTTCTCTTTCATTGCAACCACACACCTTTTTGTCCCGTCCTGTCCTCCTTCTCATGTCTTCATCCTTTTGTCTTTGCCGTGCGCACATTTACACAACCGTCCTAGCCTTAATTCTTTTTGCCTCCCCTCGAGGAGGCGTGTGTGCGTCCCCTCTGGAGTCGCGAGGTTCCTTTTGGATTGTTTTGTTTCTCGATGTTCTTTTAGCAGGGGGACGGGACACCCCACTGCGTACCTGCTCTAGGTTTTAAGTTTGTGCTTGTGTCTTGTGAACCTGTAGCGCTGGCCTCAAGCCTGGTGCGATGGCCTCCAACGCACTAGAAATGACCCCCAACCTTGTTGCTTTACTGATGCTTTTGTCAACTTGTAGCACTGGCCTCCAACCTGGTACTCTGGCCTCCAACCTACTAGCGATGACCTCCAACCTTGTTGCTTGGTGTCACTTTCAGCTTGCACACCTAACCTACTAGCGATGGCCCCTCAACCTGCTTTCGATGGCCTCCAACCTTAGAGCGATGACCTCCAACTTTTTTGCCTTGGTTTACTCAGGTTTTTTAAACTTAGGTTGCCATGTGGCGAGCGGCATTCGAGTCAGTACGCATTTCTATTAGTGTGTGTGTGTGTCAGTCAGTGTGTGCGTGCGTGCGTGTGTGCGTGGTATGTGTGTGTGTCCTGTATCACCCAAGGCTTAAAGGTTTCCCTCCGTAGGGTTTATAGAGTTCCGAAGTGCAGTCCAAAACAGTTCTGTCAGTCTTCGTTGCAATCCAAGTTTCGGTACGGAGAATTGCAGTGGTGCTGCAAATGAAAGCATGCCACACCTGGTTTTCATGGACATGTCTCTGGAAGAAACACTACTTGGCCAGGCATTCCTGCCTAAGGAACCTCCCAGCCACGCAGCTAAAAGGTATGCGCAAAGTGTCTGCATGCCAAGACCGTACCAAACCTCAGCTGCAAAAACTCTTGTAGCTGTATGTAGAAATATGCATCATGTGGAGATGCGAAGACGGGCTTCTCCGATTCATGATCGTGCTTAGGCTGCTTAGGTGCTGCTTAGAAGCAAGAAACGGTACAACCGTTCGATATGGCCAGTGCTGCTGCGGCTTGTTCAGGAAAAACCTTGCTTGTGTTCTGTGGATTCTCACGCAGCAAGCTGCATCAAGAAGTCCTACAAAGCCAAGACCCTCTGTCTCACGGCATTCTTTTGCACAACACTAGACTGACTTCCACTACGGCTCCCACACAAACAGGCCGGCCAAGGGATAGAAGAAAATCCTTGGTATGCAGAAAGTTTCAGCTGCATGTCAACAGTCGACAGGCCTCCATAGATTTGGCCTTCACAACACTGGACATCCATTCAAGCCAAGCATCGGGTCGCGGATGATACGATGCACTAACCGCAAATACCAGGCAGCGTTGTCCAGCTCTTGCTCAGAAAACCAAATAGTTAATGAACTGTCACGGATCGTGTTGTCACCTAAGGAAAAGTGGAAAGGTGCCAAAACAACAGAACAAAGTAGTCGTACAAAGGAACTCTTGGCGAAACTCCAAAATGAAACACACGTTTCTTCCTTCTTGTGAATGGTCCCGCTCAAGCGCAGCCTCCACTCAAACGACGGTTTTCCATGCGGTCTCAGGTGAGCGGGTCATGCTAGGGCCACTGGTGTTGGGCCACAAGTTCCACGGGATTGAGGGACATGCTGTGGTTGCACGGTCAAAAACAAATCACAGCTCCCAAAGTTTTCTTTGTCCCTCAATCCGTTCTTTCGGATGTCAGCTGTTGACCGGCCTTCCAGCCGTTCTTCTTTCCTATCATGCAACAGCTTCTCCTCCGCCTGGATGGAAAAACACCCGGTGGCGAGCAAACGAAACAAAGCAGTCCTAGTGCCCTTCAGCTTCGTTAAACAATCAGCCACCATGGATTGGTGGTCCACCCACCGAATTTCACCACTCAAGGCGTTCAGGTCTTCTCTGATGATCTGCACCTCGATGGCCGTTCGACGGTCCTGGCCTCCAATCGTCTCTTTTGCCAGGTAGTCAAACAGGCTTTTGGCGTCGACGATCGCCATGCAGCTTTTCAGCTGTCCATCGCTCTGGGATGAGGCCAAAGCCAAGATCTCTTCATGACGAAGATTTCTGGCCCAATCCCTCAACACCATCTTCTCTTCCTGAAGCTCTCGGAAGAGAACCAGCGCCCACATCAAATCGCCCAACCCCTTGCTCAAACTCTGCGTCTCCGCAGCGAGCGTGGAGTTCACAACACGTTGCAGCTTCCCGCTGCGCCACCACAACAAATTTGTTGTCACCTTTCTCCCTTCTCGCAAGCCATCTTCATGGCTCAATATCATCTGTCCGGCCTGGGAGTGAAAGTCGTGGTTGCCGAAAGAAGCATCGGTCACAACTGCCAGCCTCATCTTCTTCAAAGGTTGAATCCTGATTTCTAGGCCGGAGTTTTCCTTGATCTCCTTGACTGCTTCATTCATCATCAAGACATCTTCTATCTTCATGCGGTTGATCTTGGAGGAGCATAGGCTAGCGGCCGCTGAGGCGTCTGGTCGGCCTTCTTTCGATAGCCAGTTGAGCGCTCCACAGATCATGCGAACTTCCTTTCGCTCTTCTTCGGTGATCTCACTGTCTTTTGCCTTCTTGCGGTCAGGCGGCAAGATCATCATCTTCAACCTCTCTTCAACAAACTTCTTCATGTCGATCTTCACCGTGAAATCTTTCTCCTGCTGAAGTCTCCTTCCATTGAAGCTCGCTCCATTTTCTGTCTTCTGAAGTTCCACCCATTTGCCAAATTGGTAGATGGACCTCAGCTTCTTCATCTTCTCTTCATGGATGTGGTCTCCTGCTGTCAACAGATCATCGACCTCGATGGCTACCATTCCTGACAGCTGTTTTTGATGGTGCAACTTGAACAGGCATGGATCCATACGGGATTGAACATATCCCAACTGCTCAAGCTTGCTCACTAGGGACTTCCTCCAGTGCAGTGGGGCATCTACCAAACCATAGCAGCCGTCCACTATGAGTATCAGCTGTCTGTGGTCCATGCCATCCAAACCGTCAGAGGGGATCTCAAAGTAGATCTCTCCAGTCTCTCTGTTCAAGGGAGCTGATTGGCAGAACGCATTTTTGAGGTCTCCGAGTGCGATTGGGTATCGCTTGTTTGCAGCTATCTGTAGCAGCACATTGACATTGAGCGTCGTCACTGTCGGGCTGTATCGATCCAGAGTTAGCAAGTCTGGTCTTTGTCACCTCTGATGCAAAGTCGACTCTTCTTCGTTGGTGCTTCTCCGGGTTGCTCGGCATGCTTGTACTTTCGAAGCATCCGTGATGGAAGGATGCGGTCAAGTTTGCCTCGTCTCTTCAAATCTTCTCTGATCTTCAACGAATCCACCAGGTCGAAGACCTTCACTGCTCCACTTTGCACTATCTTGTCCCACTCTGCTCTGTCGGCCTTGCGCCATTCTTTCTTCGCCTCATCGTCCTCCAACTTGAGATTCACTTCTTCTGGCCTTCTTCTCTCTGCCGTCCAACACCGGATCATCTTCTCCGCTTGTGGCTTCCTTTCTTCTTCTAAACTCTCCTTGATCTCGAACTCGGTATAGCCTTTCCACCATATGGTAGATGGCCCTTCCGTCGGAGTAGTCCATACCTCTTCTTCTTCTTCAGCAATGAAGCCTTCCTTCACCTTCACCGTCCTCCTCTTCAGACTGATCTCCCGAAGTGAACACGGGAGGTCTTTTGATTTGCTGGGATCGAACTTTGTCTTCCTCTTTCTGACATGATATCTTCGGAGGAGTTTTCCTCCCCTTTCAAACTGCCAATAGTCTTGCTTCTTGCTCGGACTGATCTCATCCGTCAGCAGTTGATACCTCCTTTCTTGGTCATCTTCTTCTTCTTCGGGCGTGACCATGTACATCTCCTGGAAGTACGGGTTTCTCGCTTGTCCCCTTTGGTTCGATCTCCACCTGATTGGTTGTCCATATGGAGGCACGTCGTCTAGCCGATCTGCCTGAGCGATTGATCGTCGGTAGTGCTCCTGGATTTCTTCCGGATTCATTCCGGCTGGACGGACTACTTCTCTCTCTTCTTGAGCTTCTTCATCCATTTCTCTTCTTCCCTCATGTTCAGCTTCTGCTTCCGGCTCATCGGAAGTACGACTGGATGGTCGAGGCGGTACTTCTTGCACATCTTCCCTCTCTCTTGGCTCGGTAGGAGTGTAGCTCCCTTCTTCTTCGGAATGCCTGGCATCTTCTTCTTCATGGCCACGCTCTTCAACTCTTCTTCTGCTGCCTCTCTCTCCTTCATCATTGGGACCATCTTCTTCTGGTGGATTCCTTGGTCTCTTGGTTCCTTGAGCTTCTTCCTCTGGTTTTTCTTCTTCGTCTGGCCAAGGTTCCTTGGTGAGATCTTTATATCCTGCCCTGTTCGATCTCTTCCGGTATTCCTCCACCAGCTCCTTGCAATCCTGCATGATCACCTCGATGGCCTGTTTCTCCACGTTGGTCGCCAGTCGACATTGTTCTCGAGCAGCCTTCCATAGTTCTCCGAACACGCTGATCCATAGGCTTGCTCCTTCTATGGATATCACTGTTCCCGGACCAACCCAGTATGGTTTGGCCGTGGCTCTGTCGATGTAGTCTGGTCCACCGACCTTTCTCTTTCTTTGGTGTGGAACTCGGTAGACGAACACATAGTCGCCCGCAGTAAACTCTTGCGGAGGTCTGCTCCTCGCCTTGAAAGCTTTCTTCACGGCTTCTCTGGCGTTGTGTTCCACAAAGGCCGTTTGTGCCACCCTTCGAAATTCCAGTTGTCTCTCCATGTCATCGACCACGGCTGCCTCCATCAACGAAGTGTCCACCAGTTCGTCGGTGATGGAATGATCACATACTCTGGGCCATTGTCCGATTTGTCGTTGTACTGGAGAGTATCCTGACCGGTTGGAGAATCTATTCTTGACCATCTCAACTTCCTGCATCAATCTTTTGAGCTCCTCCTCACTGCTGACCACTGCCTCCATTCGGGCCTTCTCCAACAGATCCTTGTAGTGAGCTCCGTGTCCTTCTGTCTTTCCTTGTTGCCATGGAGCTCTGGCCGCTATTTGATGAGTGACGATTCCACATGAAGCCGCCAGGGTCATCAATCTTGAGGAAAATTCCTTTCCGGCATCTACCACCAGCACCTCCGGCAGTCCAAACACCCGGATCCAGGTGTTCCACAACATGCTCCATATCCTTTCCGGGGTCTTGTCCTCCACCTTCTCCACCATTTGGTAGTTCGTGCCCCAATCAACAATCGAAAGTGCTGGAAAGGCTCTTCCTCCTCCGATCTCCGGAATGAAGATCAAGTCCATGCCAATCACCTTGCATGGTTGATATGTCCGGGGAATGGACACTGGCCGCACCGCCTTTGGTCTTGGGTTCGAAGCACAGGCCTCGCATTTGAAGTGCTTGGCTGCCCATCGCACGATCTCTCCCCGGACTCGAGCAGCTCTCATCAATCTCACCAACTCCTTGACTTGTGGGTGTCCAACTCCTCGATGAAGTTTCAGCACCATTTGCTTCTCATGTGGAGTTGGTTCATAGTTCGGAGCGTCTTCTCCTGGTCTTGGCTCCTTTGAAACTTCGTCCGGCACGTGTAGTTGTCTTTCCAGCACGTCCTCCACTTCATCATCGTCTCCTTCTTCTTCCATGAAGTCCTCCTCCATATAGCATTCGTTGCCTCGAAGTGCGCGACGCAAGCCTCTCATCACAGCCTCACAGAACTCCGTGGTGTATTCTTGGGCTTTCCGAGTCAGTCCTCCTCCTTCTAAGGGCTCGTGGAAGTGAGAATGGTCACATTCTCTGTGCATCTCTCGGGCAATCTCCTCACAATTGGTCATCAATCGAGTCGGCTTCTTGTTGAGTCCATGCCGTACTCGCAGCCCGAACATGCACATGTCGCAGTTCACCATCATCACTCCTTCCAATCTCGAAACTTCCTTGACTTCTTCTTCATCCCACGACTTGGCATTTCGTGGGCGCTCAAACAGGAACCGCTTGCCTCTTCTCCACTGCCATTTGGCGATGAGCATCGAGACCTGCAAGTGGTGTAGTCCCTCGGCAATCAAATGGATCACCATCACTTGTTTCATCTGTGGGTAGTTGATGTTTTGCATGGGACTGAATGCCACACACGGAGGACAAAGCACTACCAGCTCCGGGTCCTCCCTTTGCAAGGTCTGCCACATCTTCCTCGCCTGAGCTGGATCTCTAAGATCCCATCCGGTCTTCTGGTCAAAGGCCGTGCCTGCCTCCATGCCCTTCTGCTCGGCGATCGGTCCCATCCTTGGCGGAGAATACACCTCCGACACCACGGCTGTTCTCATGGCTTTCTCCATATCTTGTGTCAGGCTTCTGCGACTCCTCCTTGACAGAGACTTCACCTTGTCTTGACCTTCTACTTCTTCCATAGCAAGTCTGTCTCCGTACGTGGCCCACACTCGAATCATGCTCTCCTCCGTCTCCTTGACTGGGCCCTTTCTCTCAAGCCACTCTCCGGTGGCCGGGTCCCATGCCTCATAGTCTTCTTCCAGTTTGAAGAGCTTCTGCAGGTTCGTGGGCACTTCTTGGTGTCGTCGAAGCCATCTTCTTCCTCTTAGCGAACTGGTGCTCATCCATCCTCCAGTGCTGTCTTTCACAGCCCTCCATCGCTGTCCACCTCTATCGGACCCTGTGTCCTCTTGGGCTCGGACCGACTTGTCCTTGGGCTCTTGGATCTCTGACTCGGCTCCTGAGGTGTCAGCCAGCTGAATGACGCCACCGACATCGCATCCGGATCTGCCTCGTTCGGGAGCCACTGGAAGAAGTCGCAGGCCGCCTCGGCACATGTCCAATACTTCCGGCCTCGTCTCGAGCTCTCCTTCTTCATGGCTCGGAGCTCGGCCTCCCGTCCACAGGCGCAGATTGGCTTGTCCACTTTGACTGGGATCATCGTCTCCACCTCCTTCATCCTGGCAAACTCTGAGTCCTTGGCCTTCTCGAACTCCATCTTCTGAAGGGCTGTTTGCAAAACCTGGGACTGGATGCTCTTCTGCCGGATTTCGATTCTCTGTTCCTCGATCTCCTTCTTCATGTGCTCCACCTGCCTCTCCAACGATGATCGATCCAGATGCTCCTTGACTTTGGTCATTGTCCTGGCTTGGCTGAACTCGTACGAGCCGATCTCTCCTTCCTGACTCAAGTGGCCCTTCTTCAGCATCTTCTTGTCCTCTTTGAGACTGTTCCTGATCTCCGATGACCTCATCGTGTTCTCCCATCGGCAGTGACACATTCGGCACGTGATGTACGAGCTCGAATGGTTTCCACCTCCCTTCAAACTCTCCTTGGGGTGGATGCAGTTGCTGGCAGCCACCTTGGGATTCTCTTTGCTCTTCAAAGGCGCCAGCTTCTTGGCCGACACGATGAGGCGAGCATAGATGTCTTCCAAGGTCTCCTCCTCCTGTTCCGAGTGCAGCGGCTGCGATCCCGACGGCAATTCGGGAAACCATTCCTGCACGACGGATTGGAGGTGAATGAACGTGATCAAAGTGAAGATCTTGTCCAGGATCATTCGCCACCCTCGCAAGGCCTTCTTGACTCTGGTCACCGGATTGGTCTCCTTTGCCTTGCTCTTTCCTGGGCCAGTCGAAAAGGGGGCGCTCAGCTGCTGCAGGCGGCCGACGATGGACGCCATGGCACTGAGGTGAGGTCGATCTTCGGGATGGACAGGCGTCTTCTTCCTTCAAAGTCTCGATCAGCTGAGCCGACATCGCTCCAACGAAGCACTGAGTGACAAAATCTGACATGGTCATGCCTGGCACATCATCAGGAAGAGAAAAACCATTTGGGTGATATTGCAGCACTTCGATGGTGACATGTCCACTGGGCAACTCATGCATCTCGATCGACAGCTGGTGCTCCGACATGACGAACGTGTAATCCCGAAAGTTCAACACGACCTTCAACTGCTTCAACAATTGAATTGGCAATAACAAAGGAACCTCACCCTCAACCACTGTGCACTCCAGTATGCCGTTGACCCCCGCGATTCCAATGGGAATCCAAACCACTCCAACGACACGCGCGAGTCCACCTACCCCTTTTGCTGAAGACTGTTTGGGTATCCATTTGCATTTGAGTCCCCTTTGAGTCAATGCCGCCTCCAGTCGTGACAAAGCGAGAGTCCCCACAAGGCCGCCCTCGGCCGCCGTGTCAACTACTCCCTCGTAGGATTTGGTGGTGATCCCACAAAATGACTCTCGCTGCGCGCCCTTGTACATCTCCTCGGACTGCACTTCACGGCTCATGGTCGAGCCCTCTTCTTTGGAAAAACTCTTCACAAAATCCCGCAGCCACATGTGTGATCCCTCGATCTGACTGCTGGGGTGAGAAGCTACAAAGAATCCGGACTTTCCGGCGGATGAGCTTGATGTCGAAGTCGCATTCGAGCCTGGGCCACCCGTCATCTTGGATTTCTCAGGGTGCGTGCATTCGCGGCCCCAATGGCCAATGGCATTGCACTTCCAACACCTCGTACGAAGCTTGAGCTGCTCGATGTGCACCTTCTGCTTGAGGAAAGAATCCCCTCCCGAGCCTCTGATCTTTCAGGGCCTCTCGGGCCTCTCGATAGGAGGCTAAAGCTGTCTGGAGGTCCTTCTCCTCGTAAATGTCGTCAAGATCGCCGTCGGCAAGGTAGACGTACTGGTCGTCGTCAGTCACGTTCTCATCATCCTGAATCGTTCCATCGAGCTCTTCCGTCACGTAGGTGCCTTTGCTTCGGTCCTTGTCCTTCAGGACCTTGTCCAACTTTCGCAAGGCCTTCACGATGGAGACTTTGTCGTACCTGCCATCGCACCAGGTGAGCAATCGTTGCTCCTGATGCTCATTCAGTCCCGAATGACGGAACAGGATGTAGCCCTGCGCTCCATCCGGCAGCTCGACGCCTTCCCTGGCAAGGCGGGCGAATGCTCTTTCCATGCGGCCTATGTATTCAGCAAACCCTTCCTTGCTTGAACGATGCTGGCCATAGACCGCGTTCTCGAAGGCACGGGGCAAACTGACTTCCAACTGGGGCAGAAAGAACTCTTTGAGCCTACGAAGAACGTTGGAAACACCTTCTTCACATGCGATTTCGTCGAACGGCATGTCCTCCACCGCCAGCTTTGCAAGGCCTGTCATGGCCCTCAACAGTTTCGCCCCTCGTTTCACCTTGGGAACGTCAGTTTCCCATTCCCACAGCTTCACGCTCCTCTCGAAGTTCTGGAACGTGGTTTCCGGATCTTCTCCGGAGTAGCTAGGGGGGGGGATCTCGATCCCGAAACTCTGAACCACCTCCTCCGTGCCTACTCGTGGAAAAACTAGCTTGTCCTCGCTCCTCAGCACCCCAACTTGCAGAACGGTCCATGGTCGAAACGCAGCTCCGCGGTACCACTGTGAATGGTCCCGCTCAAGCGCAGCCTCCACTCAAACGACGGTTTTCCATGCGGTCTCAGGTGAGCGGGTCATGCTAGGGCCACTGGTGTTGGGCCACAAGTTCCACGGGATTGAGGGACATGCTGTGGTTGCACGGTCAAAAACAAATCACACTTCTGAACAAGTCCCAAAGCACCAAAATGTGCATGATGAGAATTGTGGACTGCATTCCATTCCTCGAGGCTATAGTTGATGAAGAATTGGAGAACTTGGCCAAGGGATTTGTTGTGCTCTGGCTTCTCAAAGAAAGAAGAGTGAGCTGCGTCATGAAAGACAATAAAGGCACGAACCAGAGCAAACGCTAGAAAAATAATCGATGACCAATGCCCTCCGCTCAAATGAACCAATGCCAGGGATGATAAATACAACCCAGCAGTGAGGGCCTAAGTCGTTCAAATGGCAGTGACTTCAGGACCCGAGAGGAAAAAGCGCCCACAACCCCAGATGTTTTGAATTTCCTGACTAATATGACTTGGGCTTTAAATACCTTAAACTTTAATAGCTTCAACCAGCCAAGTGGCCAGGCTCAACCAGGCTTCCGAATCATCAGCTCGCCATTTGGAGACCAGCTCTTGAAGCTTCCGCCGCTCTGTGACTTCGGCTTCCTGATATGAAACTATGATAAATATGAGGCTTGAATAAGATTACAAATATGGAACATAAAGAAAACATAGACAAAGGGGAAGATGCAACTTCACAAAGGGAAGACGCAGCTATTTCTCCCAATGGAATGGAAGTTTCCAGGGAGCCATGAAAAGAGTTACTGTACAAAGTGTTCGTTCGGAAAGGCACACTCACGTCTTTCAGGACTGTGGTTGACAAAGCCCATCGACGTGATCTCCGTAGACCTTCCAGCGGTATTATTCTAAAAACACCGACAACTTGACAACTGAGAGTAGTATGAGACCGCTGAGGAAGTGCGACAACTGTGCATGCAAGAATCGTGAGCATCGCGAAGGGTGGTGCCGGACTTTAAGAGCTGTGGCAACAGCTACAGGGGCAGCCCAACATCTGCCCATCCAAAGATTGTTAGGCCTTGCAGCCGCGAAATGACCTTCAAGGCAGGAAGGAAAGAACGATTTTGTCTCTGAAAGAAACTTGCATGAGGATCATCTTGCTCATTCAACATTCATTAGTTGTAACGTATCAGTTCCATGATATGTGTATATATATAGCATGTAAAGCTATTCCATTGGGGAGAAGACATACAACACATGTCCAGAAATGTACAAATATATTCAAAGAACACAAGCTCTCTTCTCACCCAACACTAGTCCCGTTGCAAACGCCTCGACTCCTTTCACTCGAGTCCAAGTAAACGAGCCGAAGGCCACTGGCTCTGATAGGAACAGCAAGCGCTGCAAGCGTCATTTTGAAAGACAACTGTGAATCTCTTTATATACACTTGTTTGGTTCAAAGGTTGCGGTAGCTGACTCATAGATGCAACTCGGTGCGCTTCAAACAAAACCAGAAGCAAGTCTCTTGAGTGTGCACTTGCATGTTGTGCTGGCGCATCTCAAGCAGGGTGGAGCAAAAGCCTGCTAATCGAAACATGACTTGAGCAGAGAATGCTTTGGCAAGCAAAACACAAGCGTCATGTGATTTCAGAAATTCAATCCCAGAGCGCAATCGTTCTTGCCCGTCTGTACCTCACGATGGAGATAATCATCAATCGAGGAGGAGGCCACCAGTGGGTCCAGCTCCCCAGAGCCAGTGTTCCTTAAAGAATGGAAGCAAGATTTTTTTTAGCCCGCTCCCCCTGCCTACTTAATTAAGTAAGGGAGTAAGCTTCTAGTTTATATAAATGCAGATGCTTTGACGTCACGAACCAATGCAACTTGCAGTTTGTACCTCGGGTTGTGGCCAAATTTGCAGCTCGCCGTTGTAAGTGCCACCCGCCAAAATGCTAGGCTTTGTCGGATGAAACGCGATGCCTTGAGGTGGTGTGCATATTGACATTCATCATGCTGCTCCTAGTAGTGATGCCCTTTGTTACTAGTAGCTTCAGGGTCATCATGTCATTGAGTGGTAAGTGATACTTTTGGTTCATTAAAGTTGTCTCCGTTTCCTGAGAGACCGGCACATCACAAAACCCTGAACTTGGAGGACTGTGTCGGGCTCCCCAGCAACCAGATGCGGCCTGTCTGTGTTCTCCATCTGATTGTTGAGTTGCGGCACGAACGTGGTGGGGAATCCGTGCCCAGCAAGTGAGTACAGGGCAAATGCCATGCTGTACACAAGACTTTAGATTGACTGCCTGGCAAATGAGATCTGTTCAGAGAAAACTAATGTGAGAATAAATGCGTTTCATTTGGGAGCTGGAGTGGGTTTCCAGACAATTATGTAGACAACAAGTTGGGTACGCCACCATGTGTTACACCACAGATTTTCCAAGTCCTGACTTTACTGCTTAGAAATTCCATGCCAGTCAGAAGCTCGTCAACAGCAATCTTCTATCCTTAACCTTCCAGAGGTCTGTCTGCTTTGTCTGCCATGCAGAGTCTGCAGCTCTTGAAAGCTTTCACGATATGAAATACATTTACATTACTGTAATGTATAACTTGATGATCTGCAACTTTTGAGGCGTCTATATGGACATACTGGCCGGAAGCGGCAGGGCACAATAAACTATATGCAACCAGGGATTGAGACTTGGGTTTGAGAGAGCATAGAATCTAACAGAAGGTACATGGCACATCAAGTCAAGCAACTCTGTCCATGCCTGAATATGTTCCACACACAGACAGGTGCTGTCACCTCACACCAGCCCAACCTTGGCTGCGGGATGAGTCCAAGGCAGGGATATCGACATGTTGCAAGGAGCCAAAAGTGAGCCTATCAACTGGACTCTGTATGCTGTATCCCTCGAGTTTGACGCCTAGGCCTAGCCAATGCAACCAAATGAAAGTCGCTACCAGGAGACGAAGCTGGAGCGCCACAGTGGCCCGGCTGGCCGTTCTTAGGCTTGAACGTATCTAGCTTGCCAAACGCACACGCCAAAGAAGCGCCCGTCGAATTCCAAGCCACGCTGGTGACCTGTCAGGAGGCAAACTGACCAGAAAAGGCTCAGCGAACTTCAACAGTCTGGTCTGTACTCTCACCAATATCAACTCCCACCAGCATCTTAGGTTCACCAAAGTGTTATTTGTCAGGAATCGAATTCAAAAGGGTGGCTACTAGTGAGTGTATTGCCACCACAAGCCAACGACCGAACAATACCATGAAGTGCTGCGCACAACACGCGCTGAACATACCGCTCAAATATGTGCGCACTTTGAGAAATGTCAAGATTGGTACATTTGGGGCGTAGTGCAATAGAAACCGCTTCCAAGGAGTCCAACCGTTTAATAAGAGTGTTCTTCGATGCACGCATGCGTCTGGGACTTGGAAGCATGAATTGGCAACACAATTTGCCTCTGCTGCTGATGAATTGACAGGAGCTTGCAGGTTAAGGAATCCAACGGATCTGCCTGGAGATCGACAAGTCCTTCCTTCCAAACCTGCAACACTTTGACTGTTGCTGAACTGGGCACCTCTCTCTGAGGGTCTTGGACTTTGATCCACCATTCGCACAAGCACAGATGCCTGGTGTGTCATTTCACAAGTCTCAGCCACATCGTCCCACAGCGGCCTGGGAACACGTCAAATGCCAAGATGTTGCATGATCGAGATTCTCTCCGCTCAAAGCACACTAAGGTTGAGACACATACGCATCAAAGACTGGCCTGCAATCATCATGCTTAGGCTTAGTCTGCTGCTACGAGTACCGTGCGCAAACCCACAAGAACTGGTCATATCTTCCTACTGCTTTGGACGGCGGACCGTGAGCTTCTTCAATGGGTTCCACTACTGATTAGGTCTGCTCAAGGCCAGGGGACAACGAGCGCCATGCGAGCTGCAGTTCCTGGAAAGACATCAATTCCATAAGCACAAGACAGCTGTTTGACATCATAAAACACCACTTCCACAATGCGCCTGCTCCATGACAGGAGCTACTTCTCGCAAGAACACTGCCAGCTCGTGGTCGTCTACAGCCGCCTGAAAATTTCTTTCCGGAACTGGCACCTGAAACTTGTCTAGTCTAAAGTCTAAATAAAGTTTCGCCTCTTCGCTCAGTATCTCCCCAGGACCATCCGTCTGAATCTCCATCTCTTTAACCTCGCAATGTTCAGCAAGTTACACCCCCTGCAATTCCCCATGTTCCATGGAAAGTAAGCCGGCTCAATCACAATTAGTTGTATATATATAATCTATTTATACAAAAATATAGAAAAAGTATGACCCCGTGACCTCAAAAGCTTGCAACCGCCGGCTGGCTCGCTCAACCTTGGTTTCATAAACTGGAGAACGAATATCTCTCACACAGCCATGGCATGGCGAGCCTTTTCCGTCTGCAGTCGAACACCCTGGATGGGGAAAAAACATTTCACAAATTGAATAAATGTTTGAAGTAGTAGAGCCTGCGCATAGGTCTGGCCATCTTTGTCCTGAACAACCTGCCAAATCGGACCATACTGTAATGTAACATGTAGTCAAGACTACTATCAAAAGTGATCATTCACACGTTCCAAGTTTTGCAGTTTTGCATTGTGTCCAGCGAAATCACCATGTTCTCACCTTGTAGCGGGGCTTGTCTCGAACTGCTGAGCCTCACAACCATGAACAAATTCTGCAGGATTCCAAAATTCTCTTGCATCGCTACTAGTAACAAGTGCATCGCTACTAGTAACAAGTGCCTTACTAGTAGTAACAAGAAGCTAGTAGAAACAAGTGCCACGCTAGTAGTAACAGGTGCCTTACTAGTAGTAACAGTAAGCTTGTAATTTAGAATTAAGTTTTAATTTATTTTAATTTAATTTTGTTACTACTAGTAAGGCACTTGTTACTACTAGCGTGGCACTTGTTACTATTAGTAACAAGAAGCTACAAACGTGTTTAAAAGTCCTAAGGATCGCACGAACGGTGACCCCTTCAAGAGATTCGGCGATGAACCTTGCGCACGGGTCATCCTGACAAACCAACGAGCATTGTTTTCCCACCACGGGAAAAACATGATGTGAAACATTTTGCCATTTTGCAAGTGTGCCTGCTTTGCTCCATCCATTTCATCCAAGCAATTTGTGTTGACGCACTGTTGGCATTTGATGTATACTGATCTTTATGTATTGAGTTCCACAAACGAGTTGGAAAAATGCAACACCTAAAATGCTGACAAAAAATGGCCGGAGCCCCGTATGACAATCAATTCATTGACACATCTTGTGGTGGTGGCAATCCGTCACACTAATGTTCGCTACCATGGCAAGTCATTGATCATAACAAACGTGTCACTCCCAACAAATCCCATTGATGGAGCAAAAGCGGGGGCGAATCCACAAATTGAGGCTGTTGCACAGAATCAAAGTTTGCCTTTTTTGCTTGGAATGCAACATGCTCCCTCTCAATACATACTCCACTGTAACACATTTTGTGGTTTTAAAATTTTGTGGCATCGTGTGGCATAGATTTTGTGCCCGTACATGTGCGAATGTCTCGAATGGGCCTACAAATGGGCATCAAACAATAATGGCCAAGATGGGTTAAATTTTTCTACGGAAAGGCAACTTGACACAATGTGATTGAAAAGCACGAGGCAAATGCAAAGGGTGTGTAGTGAAAAGAAAACCAAAAATGTTCCTAAAACGTTGTTGTACTCTGAACATTCGACAACGTCAACAAAGCGACAAAAACACAATCCAGATTCAAAATCATCAGACTTGCACCGCAGTGATCGACGTTGGTGATAAACCAAACGAACTTACAACCGCGAAAGCGCCATAAGGTGTGAACCTCTTGTTTGACACCTGCAGTTTAAGCTAGGCTACCTTAGCTTTATGATTTCATCTTTCGAAAAACATTGAAAAAATCAATCACGATGTGCACAACAACTCCCGCACGCTGGCCGAAACAAATCAGTGAGATGTTAATGCCTCAACATGCCTCTGCAACCGGCAGTAAGCAAAAACTTTTGGGAAAATGCACAAGCAGTTGGAGGTTTTTCCGACCGTGGGTCGTCCAGATCAGACCACATGCGGACAGCCCCATGGTTGCAGCACTTACGGACAATTTCCAACATGCACAATAAAGGAACGCTCGGAATCTGCACTCTCACTGCCAACTCGATGTGTGAAGAGGTCCAAGGAACCTTTTCAGATTCCTCATCCACCCAACTCCAGCAAACATAAAGCTCTTCTCTTGCCCTGATGTGGAAGTCCCACAAGAGCCGGAGCCTCAGTTTCACTGTTTTTCCTCGTTTCACCTGTTTCACTTTTTGTTGACTTTTTTGACTCTCTTTGTAACAAGAGGCTTTACTTCCTTAGCAGTGCAGGGTTTGATCACGGCCTCGAAGGAAAAAAACCTCGTTTTTCCCCACATCACTATGTGGGGTTTTTGTTTTTCGCTCTCACCCGCCGCTCGTCCGCCCTCCTCCGCGTCCGCGTCCGCCCTCCGCCCTCCGCCCTCCGCCCCGTCTGACAACACAACTCATCACATTCAACTCATTTTACACCACTCCTCACACACAACTCATCACATCCACTCGTAGGCGGTGGACCATAGACACAAAGTGACAGCAAGAAGAAAAGTTGGAGGTCATCGCTAGTGGGTGGAGGCCAGGGTACCAAGTTGGAGGCCAGTGCTACAAGGTTACAAACGCACAAGGAAAAAAACAAGACAGCCAAAGTTGGAGGTCCTCGCTAGTGGGTGGAGGCCAGGGTACCAAGTTGGAGGCCAGTGCTACAAGGTTACAAAAAGCACAAAAGCACAAGAAGCACAAGACAGCAAGGTTGGGGGCCAATCTAGTGGGCGGAGGCCAAAGTTCAGGTTAGAGAACCCCTTACAAAGTTGGGAGGCCTGCCTGCAAACCTGTAGAGTAGTCCAGATGAAAACAGAAGGAAAGGCACCGACACACAAGTGTGTCGAGTACCGTTTCCTCCTGTTTTCCTAAATAGTGGAACAGGTACAGGTGGATGATCAGTCCACCCATCCCTCGTCATACCGTAGCTTCATTGCGTACGGTGGGTATGACGAGCCCCACGCCCCTGTTCCAAACCTAAAGGTTCCCTTTGATTCCAAGGGTTACACACACACGCCTCCCCAAAGGGGGCCTCCATCCTGCCAGGAAAGGAGGCAAGGCACATGCGCACGCAAAAGCGACAGATGAAAATGAAAAGGACGAGACAGACAAAGGTGTGTGTGGTTGCCGATGAAGAAGAACCAAGTGAAGAGGGACAACCGATGAACCAAACCTCATTGTAACGAACCTGGGCCACCTGAACCTCGTTGTAAGTAGAGTACGCGTGCGTGTATGTGTGCAAACTAAAGTCCGGACGATAGTACGCGCAAGATAAAGAAAGGATGGGGATGAAGAGACACGAAGACAGAAAGACATGAAAGAAAAGAAGGCAAAAACGTCTGCGGGGGCCGATGAAAGGGGAACCAAATGAACGGGGACAAACCGATGACAGCCCAAGCCTCATTAGAAAAACCTGTTGCAGAAGCCTAGTTTGCTTGTAAACACGCCGCGCGCGAGGAAAGAGGGGGGAGGGGAGGAAGAAAAGAGAGGGAAAGAAAGAAGGAAACAGAGGTGCTCCCAGCTACGACACAAGCGTCCAAGGACACACCAAAAAGGAAGGGCTCCCAGCTACGACGAAAGCATCCAGGGACACCCAAGGAAGAGGGTGAAGAGAGGAAAGAGAGAAGGAAAGAAAGAGAGAGGGAGAGAAAGAGAGAGGAGAGAAAGGAAGGTGTTCCCAGCTACGAACAATCGTCCAGGGACACACCAAAGAAAGAGAGGGGAGATCCTGAGTATTCCATTCAGTGAAACCCCAGAAAGCAAAGAAAGAAAGGGGGAGGGAAGGGGGAGGAGGGGGGACTAAGTGCTCGACAGGTTCCAATGAACCTTAAACTTGCTTTGACCGCTATGGTCACCTTGCGCCCTGCCAAAGTGGCTGGCTGCTTTGACCGCTGCGGCCACGTAAAGGCATAAGCCAACTGGGAATTCCAAAATTGAGACAGAAATCTGAGTTCTCTCGGCCTAGGCCACCTTCGCCCGCTACGGGCACGTGCGTTTCCAAAGCAAGGGAAACAGCGACAGACACCGTTCGACGGGTCCACGGGAGGCACTCTACGGGCTCATCCCGGACTGGCACGAGGCCAGACACACTTATGGATATGCGCACTGACTTGACAGCGGTGCCACACGCCGGCCTAAGTTATTTGGAAGGCCTGAGATGTCAGGAAATAGTAGGGTTAAAGGCCATCGGTTTTGGGTTGGAGGTCAACGCAGGGCTGTTGAGGGCCAAGACCTGAGGTTGGAGGCCATCGCTAGTAGGCGGTGGACCATAGACACAAAGTGACAGCTAGAAGCAAAGTTGGAGGTCATCGCTAGTAGGTTGGAGGCCAGGGTACCAAGTTGGAGGCCAGTGCTACCAGGTTACAGAAACACAAGAAAAAACACAAGACAGCCAAGGTTGGAGGTCCTTGCTAGTGGGTGGAGGCCAGGGTGCCAAGTCGGAGGCCAGTGCTACAAGGTTACAAAAGCACAAGAAAAAAACAAGACAGCCAAAGTTGGAGGTCCTCGCTAGTGGGTGGAGGCAGGGTACCAAGTTGGAGGCCAGTGCTACAAGGTTACAAAAAGCACAAAAAGCACAAGAAGCACAAGACAGCAAGGTTGGGGGCCAATCTAGTGGGTGGAGGCCAAAGTTCAGGTTAGAGAACCCCTTACAAAGTTGCGAGGCCTACCTGCAAAACTGTAGAGTAGTCTAGAGGAAAACAGAAGGAAAGGCACCAACACACAAGTGTGTCAAGTACCATTTCCTCCTGTTTTCCTAAAAAGTGGAACAGGTACAGATGGATGATCAGTCCACCCATCCCTCGTCATACCGTTGACGAGCCGTACGCCCCTGTTCCAAACCTAAAGGTTCCCTTTGATTCCAAGGGTTACACACACACACATCTCATCACATCCCAATCTCACACAGTTCATCACCCAGCAAAAATTTCAATCATGAAAGTCTGCTCAACATGAAGGGAGTGCCAAGTCTTGAATTCAGCAGTTTCGAAAGACCTTCAGTTTTTGTGGTCAACCAAGCTGCGCTTACCCTGGCACT